TTATTTTTATTTTTTATTTTTAAAATTATGTAATTTAACTTTGGAGGTTTTCAAATTTTTTTTATTAGAATCAGTTCTTTTGAATTTAAAAAATAAAAACAAATATGGCGCCGAATAACAAACTTCGTAAAGTTAAAATCTAATGACCCGACAAAATGGCGTCAGTGGACTACCAACATAAAAAAAATATTGAGTATCTAAATAAGTATACAAATAGAAATGCTTTTTTATTTTAACCAAAACATTTGGATGTAAACTACGACGTTGAAATTTAAAAATAAAAGGTAAATAAAAAATAATTAATTATTTTTAAATATCGGATGCATAAAATATTAATTTAATGTAATTTTAATAATTTAAAAAATTTTTTATTTGACAAAGAAAATTTCAAGGACATCTTAAAAATATCTGAGTCATCAAAATAACCTCTTTAAAATCAACAATATTTGTTTTTAGACAATGTCTAAAGAAAGGGAATTGCCTGATTGCATAGAGCAATTGAGAATTGCCACTAAATCAATGATTTCTGATACGAGTACCAACGGATCTTGTCATAGAAAGTCATTAGACGCACCTTTTGGCCATGTTAAGCTATGGAATAATAATAAATACCAAAATTGCAGCAAATGTGTAACTGGTTGCACTTTTCCATCTTCATCAACTAAATTTAAGCCAGTTAAGCCAAAAGTAAGAGGATTTGGTAATCCCATATTAAGGGATTCTGTGTTAAAGTTATGTGATGACATGAATAACATTTGCATTAAAAAGTGTTCTGTCCCCAAAAATCATAATAAAGAATTAAATTGTTTAGTGAATAAATCAAATAATAGTAATATAAGTTTTAATTCTGTAAGTGATTTAAAAAGTGATTTGAACAAGAAAATTACAGGTAAAAGTTATTCGGTTAAACAAAGCAAATTTAAAGATTCTGATAAAAAAAGATACAGTGATCAAAGTTTATTAGAAAGCAAAGAACAGCAACCTATTTTAGCTCGATTAAGTGATGTTTCTTGTTCCCAACAAGCCAGGATGGGTGCAGATGACACAACAATTGATGACTTGACTGGTTACTTAGATGATATTCTTCACATTCCTAAAAAAATGTCTCATATGGCAGAAATGATGTATATTTGAGTTAATCAAAAAAAATGTAGATTCAAACTCCACGTAGTAAACCTATATTATTTTTTTCTTATGCACATTGTGCATTTTTTTTCTGCATTGTATTTGCTTTCAAATTATTAAGTAATATAAATTTTCTTACTACTTTATTTATTTCTTAAAATTCTTTTTTTTTTTTTTTTTATTCGACGAAACAAAAAAATGAGGTAAAATTCGATGAAAATATTTCAGTCGTATGTGCCAAAATGAGTACGATTTCTATAACATTTATTTATTTATATTCTAACCCCAATATTTTTGTTATAAATTAATCGCTACAAATATTAAACTAAACAAAAATACATTTTTCTGTTACATGTTTAGAAAAAAAAAATATTTATTTTTATTGTGTTAATGCTTTTCGCTGTTTAATTTATTTTCCTAAATATATATATATATATATACGATTTGTTTTTCAAATTATAATTTTCTTTTTTAAATAATTTACATGTTTAAAAATGAATTGATAATTCTTTTAATAATTATGCAATTTTTTATTCATATTAAATTATTATAATATTTTGTCAGAAAGGGGATAATTATTTTGGTAATTTTAAAGGGATTTTAACTTTGATATTTAACATTTTTTTCACATTTTCGAAACTGCATTCATGGTTTTATTCGTTAAATGAAACTTTAATTGGTTTTAACATACAATAAATATGAGATGAACCCCTAATTCTAAATGTTTTTAATTATTTAGGAAAATGTTTAGAAAATAATAAATAAAAAAACAAATTTTAATGACAAAAAAAAAAAAAAAAGTTTTATTTATATAAACTTATTTAAATTTTAATGAAATAAAAATAAGAACATAGAAGAATATTATATATATAATATATGAATTAATTTTATATTTCTGAAAAAAAAAGAAGCAAATAATAATAATAATAATCAATTTAAAAATTAAATGAATTTAAGAATGTTTAAAAAACAGAAAAAAAACATTTAAACAACAAATCAAATGAAGTAGAAACCAACACATTATTTCAATTAGAAAATGAACAATACAATGATTAATTTGTAGCAATTTTTTTTTTGGGCAATTGTCAAGAATAAAATATGATGCTAAATAAACGTTAGGCTTGTAAATTTTTTCTTGAGGAAAAAACATTTAATCAATTATTATACTATTGAAATTAAGACCTTGAATAATTTGTAAATATTACGGGAAAAAAAAAAAAATTGTTTCCGGTAATAATTTAATAATAATTGATACGTTTCACATAAAATTCACATCACACATTTTTTTTTTTTTTTTTTTTTTTTTTTTTTTTTTGGCCCCTAATTAACAAGACTCGAATGCAAATGTAATATATATATATTTGTATTGTAACATTTAAAACTTTTTTTTTTTTTTTTGACCAGAATTTGATATTTATTGTCACGCGGGTGGGCGGATACTTTCGCGTGCCTCGTTAAAAACTCACGAATTGAACTTTCATCACGTTTCAACCAAGCCTCGTTCAAACGTATCGTTTCCAGACTTTGTTGAATTGTTCGTTCCGTTCCAGGGAAATCGTGCTCTTGGAAAAATTTCTCAATTTCCTGTGCTTTTGTTTCGGAAGCAAAATTTTCCGTTGTGTATTTCACGAGGCGAGCCAACAAAAATCCTCCCTGATAATTTACAAAAAAAAAAAAAAAAAAATTAGATCAATTTTATTTTTATGCGTTCGAAATTGCAGCCAATATGGATATGCAATGCAATACAATATTTAAATTACCTCGTATCTTTTCAACAATTCTTGCCAATTTTCTTTGAAAAAATTCCAAGCCAACTTTCTTCCGACGCTACTGAGAGCAGCAACCGAAGTGATAACAAAAACCGAATCCTGACTTCTTACTTCGTCCGAAACGGCAAAGTGTAAAACTTTTTTCAATACTTCTTCATCTTCAATGGCTCCCAAGTTACGGCATATTCTATTCTTTTCCTCGTGTAAATCTGTTTCTCTGTACAACTGAATAAGAAACAAAAAAAAAAGGAATGAATTTAGATTGTAAGATTTACGGGGGGGGAATAATATCTGATAAGAAAATTTTTAATCATCAATTTTATGTTGTTTACCTTTAAAAAGTCGTCGTAAGTTTTTTCGGTACCACTAGACATTACGGCTCTGTAAACGGGTCCTCTCAAATCCGCTGGAATCAAAGATTTCTTATTCAAATGATTTTCAAATCTTATTTTTGATTCGTTGATTACAGATTTTTCTTCGCACGAAGCCAAGCTACCGATGACCAAAGACCTCAGGAGTGTATCCAAGTGACCTAATAATTACAAGTAATTTTTTTTTTTAAACTTTGTCTCCTTTAGATAATAAATTTTTTTTTCCCAATATATTATAGGCGTACTTAAAAAAGTATACATTTTACTTACTTTCGTTTTTCTTTGGCTCCCAGCCCAATTTTTGGTAAATCGGAGTCATTAAAATTCTTACGTAGTTTTTCAAATCTTTTTTTAAATCCGTATGTGACAGCAACAGGCTCAATTTTGCAAGACAATTATTTATACTCGACCAAACTGTGTAGTTATTCTCGTTGCTGAAAGCTTCCATTACTTTTAGTACTTCTACGGTAGGAGTTTCCCCCGCTTGAACCTAATTTTTAATTATAAAACTTAATACGTATTTCTCACGTAAAAATAATCGAAGTTGAATTTTTTGTGTAACCAACCAAAGCAAACAAATCATCCAAAAGACCTAAACGATCCAATGGTGGAAGAGTTTTATCTCTAATGGCGGGCAAGAGTCTATCCAATAATTCAGGAGGATATTGAGTTCTGTAGTAACCGATGGTTCCCCAGTTAATTTTAATCCAACTGTCCATATTGGCGGGTAATGTAACAGCCTGACATTTTTTTTCAAGAACGGTAGAAAATATTTCTCCCTTGTTAGTTGCAATTGTAATGGGAATCATCCAAAGGGCGTCATTATCTGAAAATTAAAATTTTTGAAAAAATAGTAATTTTTTTTGTAAATTCTTGTCAATGCATATCTACAAATCTAATTTACAAACTTTTATTATTTTTATTAACGGCAAATCTTTCTTGAGACAAGGTTAGAACAGTAGAATCTGCGTTCTGTTCAAATTTAACTCTCACAACCGGAAAACCCATTTGTTTTGTCCAAGTACTCATAACGGCTGCAACCGGTTTATTGGACGCTTCCTCTAATGCTGCCCATAAATCTTCCGTGAATGTATTTTTGTATTGATGTTTTGTCAAATAAATATTCATTCCTTTTCGAAAATCCTTAAATTATAAAGTTTATTATTATTATTATTATTATAAGCAGTAAATTCTCTTCTAAAAAGAAAATTTTTTTAAATTTTACCTCATCTCCAATGTATTTATGAAGCATTCGAATTACCGATGCTCCTTTACTGTAAGATATATCATCAAAAATTTCATCTATTTCTGAAGGATGACCGACCGGTACTTCAATCGGATGTGAGCTATCCAAACAATCTAACTCTAAAGCTTTACAATAAGTGTCTGTTACGAATTGAGTCCATATATCATATTCTGGAAACAAATGTTCAACGCAGAGAAATTCAACAAATGATGCGTAACCTTCATTTAGCCAAAGATGCGTCCACCATTCCTAAAAAAAAAAAAAATTATTTTTATTTCTTGACATGTGTTAATATAGGAATTCTTTTTTTTCTCTCTCTCATTAAAAAATTAGTTTTCACTTGACAAAACGTTTTTAATATTTTAAAATTATTTTACCATTGTCACTAAGTTTCCAAACCATTGATGAGCCAATTCGTGACCAACAACAATTGCTATCCATTGTTTACTGCTGGCCGAGGTATTTTTTGGATCTACTAATAAGCAAGTTTCTCTATATGTAACCAATCCCCAATTTTCCATGGCTCCTATAATTTTTTAATTAATTTTTTTTTTTAATATTTTGACGCGAGTACGCTTTTAAAATAGTAAAACATTAGTCAACACTCATGAAATATTTTACCTGCTGAAAAATCTGCAATGGCAATTAAATCAATTTTTGGTAAAGGGTATGCAATGTTAAAATATTCTTTGTAATATGGCAAAACTTTAGTGGCAACTTCTAAAGCAAATTTTCCCTGTTCCTTTTTTCCTACTGGAGTGTAAACTCGTACTATAACTCCATCTTTACTAACATCTTCAATGTAATCATATTCTCCAATAACTACGGCAACTAAATAAGTCGACATAATAGGAGTAGTTGCAAATTTAACTAAACGATTATTGTCCTTTTTTATTTCCTGGGTAACTGGCTAAAAGAGTATAAAATAACTGTAATAATAATCAAAAAATTATTTATGAAAATGTTAAAGTAACATGTATTTTTAATCAAGAGACCATGTTGGACAAAGCAACTTTGTCCAGAGGAACATCTAAAGTAATATCAAATGTTGCTTTGATTGCAGGTTCATCCCAGCATGGAAAACATCTTCGAGCATCAGTCGCCTCAAACTGGGTTACAGCAGCATAACGTTCTTCTCCTGATGGGCTACAAAATAATTCATAAGGTAAGTGAATTTTCTTTTTATCAATTTGAGGATGCATCAGAAACCAATATTATACCTAATGTATTTGCTTCGATACAATCCTTTCATTTTATCTGTAATTTCACCGTGGAAAGCAAGACTAAGACAAGCTTTGCCTACAGGCAAAGGCCTTGGAAATGTTAATGTTAATGTTTCAAGCTCATTAGACACAGTAACAGAGCTGGGTTCTGCAGAACATTGTTGCAAACAATTAATAGAAACTTTATCAATTTTTAAATCCAAGCAGTTTAATATTATTTTATTCGTTGGCTCTTTCACCTGAAATCATTTTTTTCAAGGTTAGGTTTAAAAACTATAATAAAAATAAATAAATAAAACTCTCTAAAAGTATAATTTTAAGAAGAAAAAAATTTTGTTTATATTATTTTAATGAAGGGAAAATAATTTTATTTAATTATTACTAAATATTTAGCTTCTTTTTTTTTATTATTGAATTTCTTAATTTAAAAGATTAGTTGATTTATTTTAATGTTTTTTTTTTTTGCAAATTTTAAAATTATACTAGTAAATAAGGCATAAACCCAAGGCCAAACAAAAATTATACAATTCTCAACTTACCTCCACATCAACATTTACAGATCCTTCAAAAATGAATTTTTCCAAATCAGGCTTGAGAAACAAATCATAATGAGAGGGTATCACATTTTTAGGTAAACGTTCAAAAGGTTTTTTTCCTTCGCTTTTAATTTCCTTTCGATCACACATGGTCTCTGAGTAGAACCTGTAGTTTATAAATCTATCGTAAAATTTTTTAATTTGAATATTTGATAACAATTGATAAGCAATTTTTCTGCACTCGGTTGTGCTACTTCTGACACAAAAGCCCAGTTTTGAATAACGGTATTTTACATAAACTTGTTTTACCGAGTGAACCGTTTGTTTCTTCTGAAAAAGGTATTGATTAAAAACCCGTGCTAAGTACATTTATCGATACAAATATCGAAAATTTTTTATAATTTATACGACAACGGCACGCCGGTACAATAATACAAAAAATCACCGTCAGATAATGCAATTATTTTTTTTTTTTTTTGTTTGTTTGTTTGTTTGTTTGTTTCTTTGAATAATATTCAATTAAAATTTTCAAAAGTATTAAAAATAAAAAAGAAAAAAAAATTTTTTTTCCTCAGGATAATTTGGAATAGAAAAAAATAAGAAAAAAAAATAAACAAAAATAATAATCTTACTTTTACTTCTTTACTCCAATTTTACTGAGTCACACATAACTCGCCATTTGCAACATTCGAATTATGTAATGAACGGTAGTCGAATACGGACACAAAAAACTTGTAAAGACTTTTTTTCACAAAATATCCTTACCGAGTCCTTTATGAGAATAACAATGTATGTTGCTCAAATATTGTGAATATAACAAATTCAATAAAAAAGCACCTAAAATGCGAAGCCTTCTTTTTTTTTTTTTTTTTTCTTTCTGAGTAACGGTATTTTTTTTTATTGCTCAATTAATTTAAAACTGCCGGTTGGTTATTCTACAACTTTTTTCCCCTGCCAAAAAAAAAAAAAAACTTCTTTAAAATAATTAATTCGATTATTTCATTTTCATTTTTCCTAAAAAACAAAAAAAAAACTACAAACAATTATTAATAATTACAAAGTATTTTATTTAATAATTTATTTTCATTAATATACGCCATTTTGTTGCATAAGTTGGTACGATAATTTTTTTAAAATGAGATTTTATTAAAGGTATTATTTATAATAAATTAATTTTTATAATAATTAAAACTTTTATTTATTTATTTAAATAAATAATACTTAAACTTATTTATTTTCAAAAAATTGGTTGTTATTATTAGGAAGATCGTGCGATTTTAATTTTTTTCTCTCAAATTCATTCTCCATTAATTATTAACATATGATCATTTTAAAATTTTATTTTTAAATTTAAATATAAATTATAGTAATAATAATAATAATTTGTTTTTGTTTAGGTGAAAATTATAAAATGTAAAATAATCCATAAATTTATTTAAAACAAAAGTATGAAAATGAATAAGCAAAAAAAAAAAATACCTTAGGTAAGAGTTTTTATTATTATTATTATTATTATTATTATTCAAAATGTCGCGTTATTATTTAAACAGCTGAACAAGTAAAAAAAAAAATTTAAATTTTTTTACAATGGCAGAACAAAAAAAAAAAAAAAAAAACACGTGCAATCGAAAGGAAAAAACACATTTTAAAGTAATTTAAAAAAAATGTTTTTACAAAACTGATTAAAAATAACAAAACAATGAATAATAAAATTTGTTTTTTTTTGGGGGGGGGGAGGGGGGCTTTTTCAAATTCATTTGATTAAATTTTTTTTTTTTTAAACGAAATAATCGCACAATTAAAATTTTTTTACGATTATTATTATAATTATTAATTAATATTATATACATAAAATTTTATATCTTTTTAAAAGAAATCTAATATTTACTATCATATTCATATAAATATATATAAACATTACATTAAAAATTACTTAGTTAAATAATAATTATTAATAAATATTTATAAGATAGTAAATAAATAAAACAATAATAATATATCATCTTTGTCGTTATAAATATGATTCAAAGGATTTTCCACCCCCTCTCCCCCCCCAATAGCATAAATATTAAAATTATCAACCCCCTTTTTTTTCATAAACTTAAATTGATTTTAAATAATAAGTTTATGTAATATTTATATAATTAAAGTTTTTTTACATAAAACAAATTTATTATTTAATATAAAAAAAACAACTTTATACAAATAATTATTATTATTATTATTTAACTTTGAATATAAATAAATAAGCAAGAGAAAAAAAAATTTTTTAAATAAAATTTTATTGATTTTTAATCATAAAAAAAAATAAAATTAAAATTAAACAAAAATAAATAAATAAATAAAGCAATTTTGTATAGTTTATTTCATAATAATAATAATAATAGAATAAGAGTTAGAGTTTGTGACACATAAAAAATTATTATTATTATTTACTTCTTCTATAATGACTACACTTAATTAATAAATTCTACTTTAATTAAATACTTAAATATATATATATATATATATATATATAAACACTAGCCTTAATATTTCTTTATTTTTTTTTTTGACAATTTCACATAAGCGAAATATGCAGAATAATAATAATAATAATAATATCCTTGTGCTTTTTTTCCCGAGTAAAAACAAAATAATAATAATAATAATAATTAAATACTAATAATGTATTTAGGAAAAAAAAAGATAAATTATGGATTTATTTACATGGAATTATAAAATTTTCCGCCATTTTATTTATTTATTTACTTTTTATTTCTTCTATACTACCAACCTCACCGACGCATTTGTTTTTTTTTTCCGTTATAATAAAATTATGATTTTTCGAATTTGGTAATTCTGAATTGTCAACATGTCGATTATTTTTTTCTAAAAAATTTTCAACTATGCTTCCTTTTTCGCTAGGTAGAAAAAAAAGTAATTAATTTTTTTGATCTTTAATAATTTATAATAACTGATTAAATTTTATTCGTACCTATCTTCAGAATTTAAACTTGGCAATTCCGTTTCTTCATCATCATCATCATCATCAAATCCAGATTCATCGACATCAATACTAAATATCGAACTCGTTTGAGATTCGACATCTTGTACGGCAATTTTTAAAGATAAAGCAACCAATTTTGCATTTTCTATTATTTCTTTTCTTTCGTCGGGTCCCAAATCATTTTTCAAATTTATTTGTTGTGATTCAACTAATAATTCTTCATTCTTAAAAATTTTTTCCAGATTGTCTAAAATCAAATATATATATATGTGTTTATCTTAATAATTTGAATTTTATCAACGGTGAGTAACAAAGTGCATTGATAAGAAACTGATAAAACCTTTTACCTTTATTTTCTTCTAATTTATCTACACTTTCTTCATTTTTATTACCCGCCATTAAATAATTTCCTTTAAAATCTCTTATCGTATATGTTCTATATCTATCCTGTGATGCAAGCCTTCTCTCTTTGGGTGTAAATTTTTTTTTCGTTTCGTTTATTTGTAATTCTTTATTAAATTCCAACGTGTTATTAGGATTAATAGATTCCGTTAAAGATTGAACATTAAAATGTTTATTATCTTCATCGTCTCCCATTTGATGATAATTTTTTGAATTGTACATGATGGATTCAATATCAAAATCTTGTCCGTGTTGACTATCCGCCATTTCTGATGTTAAACTTGCTATTGATATTATGCTATTATCTAAATCAAGGGCATCGTACGGTACCGAACCATAACTTGGTAAACTAATAAAATCATTTGACAGTAAAGATTTATCGTTGTTCGAATTAAAAAATTTATATTCTTTTTTTTCTATATTATTATTATTATAAGTTTCGAATTCGTCAAAATCTAATGTTTCATCGCTTACGTCCAACAAACTACAATCTTCCGTATCTAAAAATGAACTGCAAGAAGGAACAGAGATTTGTGAATTTATACTAAAACTCATATCGAATATTTCTTGTTGACTTTTTTTTATATTTTCACACTCGAAAAAATTTGTTATTTCAGAACCGATTTTAAAATTTGGTATTAAATAATTATTATCAGTCGGTGATTTATAATTTTCCGATTGGAAAGATGATAAATTATTTGTCGTCGTTGGAAAAGTTACATCGTTTTCATTCCATTTTCCCCCACAATTTTCTTTCTTTAATTTTTTTTTATAAAATTCCTCGGGTTTGACACTTTTAAATGTACAAGTGCAAAATTCTTCGCCACATTTACAATTTTTTATATTTATTTTTTCCGATTTGTTTTGTTGACAATTTAATAATTTCGAATTAATAATTTCTTTTGTGTTATCATTTTCAACTTCCTTTGTTGTTATTATCAAATCAGAATTCGTCGTTCGTTCCAATAATTCATTATTATTATTATTTTTTTTTTGACTTGATGATAAAATTAAAGGTTCATCGATATCACGTTCCTTTTTTGAATCATTATCATCATCATCATCGCATTTTAAATTTAATGTTGATGATGATTTTTTATTCATAGAATCACCTAAAATAAAACATTTTCTCAAATTTAAAGTTGAAAAATTTTATGTTTTGTCGCTAAAAAAAAAAAAATAATCGAAATTAAAATTTAGTTTAACAGTTTAAGAGACATGCAAAGCTAAATTTAATCATTTTTTTTTGCACATAAAATGATTTTTACAGTCCATACATTTATTGTAAACACTTTTCAAGGGTTGAAATTAACCTATAATGAACTTGATCACAGGTAAAAAGTTAAAATTTGGGAGGGAAAATTTTTTTTTTTTTGAATTCTATTCAGTTAGAAACGGATTAAAGATATACAACCATGGATTTAAAAATGAAAATAAAAATTTAACAGTAAAAATTTATTTCAACAGTAATTTTTAATTAATTATTATTACAAATAAAATTATTGAACTTTATACAAAAAAAAAAAAAAAAAATACTTTCAATACTTTTTTGGGTTAATAACTAAATTGCATTTTGTTTATAGTAAAAGTGAAGGAAGACATTTTAATGTGCGCAAATCTAATTTGCAAATAAAATAATATTTTATTAATTACTAATTAAATAAATGATTTCAGGTGTGATACCTACATAAAATTTTCATTTTTTCATTCTAACGTATGAAGAAAATTGATTTATAATAAAAAAAAACTTGACTAACTTGGCTTTTTTTTATTTTGTTCCAACGTATATTTTGCTTATTACTTACTTTTACTTTGTAAATTCATCATTAGTTGATGTTTTGAAACTGGAACATCCGTAGTTTTACAAACTAATTTCATATCTTGAGTATTTTCTTTCAAGGTATTTTGAGATCTACAATAAAAAAAAGTCAGGTACTTATTTAGAATGCCATTAAACTTTGTGCAAAAGAATAAATTATTTACCTGGTTTCGATAGTAGGGATTCCAATTTTGGTATTCAATTTAGATTTTTGTTCTTTCACATTTTCTGTGCGCGAATCATTCTAGAAAATAAAATTTTTTTAAAAATAAAATACATATAAATATAAATTAAAATAATGATGATGAGTAATTTACTTTTTTTGTGAGATCATCACAACCGTTGTCAAAAGAAGAAGAATGAGATGATGATGATGATGGTATTTTTTCATTTGGGTTATCCGAGGGTAGATTTCTTAAATCTTGATTTGATGAAAAATTATTATTAAGAATTGAAAAACCATCTTCCGATGATTGCGGTCTACTAATCGATGGATCTAAATTTAAATGATAATTTTAGTTTTTTTTTTTTTTAATACGAGTTTTTGTATTTTAAATGAGAAAAATTTTCCTTTTACTTGATAGTATTTGACTTTTTGGCCTGGTCTTTAAAACTGGGATTTTCCGTTTCGTTTTGTTTTCTTCCACGTTATTTCCTCCGGAAGCAGCTCCATCAGCTGCAGTATCTTTGTCTTGTAATAATGATTCTTTCGAACTCGATTTCTTATCACTTAATTTTTTTCTATGAGTTAATGTTGGTATCATTGACGTTTTATACCTAGAAATTTATTTTTTTTAAATCAAAATTTTGTTTATTTGGCTGGGTTTAAAAATAATTTTTCGTTCGAAATAAAAAAAACCTTTTAATCATTTTCTGATCGGATTTATCCAATATTTTACTATCTTTTAAACTTTCGTGCATGGTCACACTTTTATAAGATGGTTCTTGTTTTTGTAATGCGGTCAATCTATTTATTTTCTCACAAGCTGAATCTGATTTTGCAGATACGACAGACTCTCTACTGTTAGATCGCATAGACATGACTAAACCTTTGGCACTATCTACAGCTTTTGACGTATCATCCTCGTGAGTCGGTGAAAGGTTTGATTCTATATTATCACACGTTTCAGTCAATGTAATATCTATTTCCTGCTTTAAGGCACGTTGCTTACGAACCGTTAACGAAGGTAAACTTTGTAAACCTAAAATTTTTTTTAAATTTAAATGTGTTTATGTGTTGTTGTTCATCACGTTATCAAATATGTTAAAGTAATACCTAAACTTCTGGCTGTAGAATCCATGCTTGATGTTAGCGAACCGTTTGGATTGGCTGTTAATAAGTTTTTCAAAGCAGCACTGGATCCCATTGCAATCATTTTATGTTTCGACTGAACCAAATTACGCAACATACTAGGTGCACCCATTTCCCACAATTTATTCTGATCTTCTTCGCATCTGTTTAAATGAAATTATAATTATTATTATTATTATTAAGATTATGTCATACTCGTAATTTGCTTATAAGTTTTACATACCTGGCTGATAAATTCCACAGAGTACCACAAGCATTACTAACAATTGTCAAACTTGGACTTTTTAATTGTTCCAAAAGGATTTCAAAACAATTATTTTCCCTGAGTATTTGCCTATACTCATCCTTAACAGCTATATGACTAGAAACATTTCGCAAAATACCACCGGCATTTTCAACAATTGCTAATGTATTTGAAGAAGGATTATAACGAAGCATTTTTATTAGAAAAGACAGGGCTCCGGGTACAGAACAAATGTCTACCTAAAATAACAAAATTTAAACAATAAAAGCATTTTTAAAATTCGTCAAAAACCGTTATCAAAATAATAATAATAACATTTTAAATATACAATTACTTGAACAAAAAGATAAATTTAAGTAAATAATGCAGTTTTCAGTTAATTTCTTAAAAACTATTTTTAATTCACTTAATTAAAATAAAAATTAGAAAATTAATTGTGTTTACTTATTTATGATATGCTATTATGAATGATATCAATCATTGTTGACAAACAATACAACTGTTTTAGTACACATTTGTTTACATTTGTCTGTGCTCACAATCAATCGTTTTAGATAAGATAATTTTTGCAGAAACATATAATTTTATACGGTAATCACAAAATTTATATTAATTATTAATTCTGGCGTGTTTAATGAAGTTTAGCTTATTTTAAGAAATATATATATTTTTTTTTAAAATTTGAACTTTGCGCATCGATTTAACTCTTACAATATTGGAGGATTTGCAATTAAGATAAAAACTTTAGTTTAGCTAAGTGATTATTTAAATGGCAATAACGGTTTATATATACCTTGTTCGCTGAACAATGAGCTGACAAATTCCAAAGCGCAGATAATATAGATTTTTGTGTAGACTCTTTTTTTCCCTTCATACCGGCTATTGTCAAAGCCGTTACTGCTCCCACATTTTGAAGTACTTGCTTACTTTCAGCGTCAGCTCTCCTGTAATTTTTAACAAATTATAAATAAGTAATTTTTTTTGACTATTGACAAAAAATAATACTAATACTTTTAAGGAAACTAATTTCGATAACATAATAATATTCTTTTAAATTAAATGGTAAAAAAACATAAGACTTGCCAGGATAAATTACGCAAAACGCTTGCAGTTACTTGTAGAAGATCTTCGCAAGATGTTTTTAATTGATCAACCAATGCTAACATAAATTTATCCAAACTGCATAAAAGAGATTTATTTCTAACATCTCCGAAAGTTAAATTAGTTAAAGACATTCCAGCAAATCTTCGCAAAGTAGTACAATCGTTATCACATGAAAGCCCATGTTCTTCGTGATCAATCTGCAGACAAACATTTTAAAGATATAATAAACTTTTAATCAAACTGTTGAACAATATTCAATTCAATTCATGTATCAGATCGCGTCAATTGAATACTTTTTAAAATTTACAAATTACAAAAATAAAGGTTGTGAACAAGAAAATATTCTTTGAACTTTGATTACCTGGATTAATTCAGCAATTGCATGTAAACCCCCCAAGGTGCAAATGGTCTGTCGGTGTTCAGCATCAAAAGAAAATTTCATTAAAGCTCCTATAGCAGCAACAGGGTGTTTTTCTTCATTTTCCGAAACTACTATTGAAATAAGTTTATTATTGCCTAGCTATACAAAAACAGTAAACAATTTTAAATTATTATCGTTACCTTTTTGGGAATCATCTGCGCAATGGTTCGCTTGTAAATTATCACAGTACTCTCTTATTTGGTGCAGTAGTTTTAAAACCCGAATTTCACGTCTTTTACGTTTATCATCGTTCTGTGCATGGACTATGTTGTGTAAAGCTTGAGCAGCCCTACTTCTTATTTCGGCATCACGTTCTGAAGAGTATATAAGTTGAACAAGTAAAGGTAAACAACCGCTCTGACGCATTGCATGACAACTTTCAACCGAGGAGGACATGGCTAAAAATGTTTTCGACATATCTTTTCTATTATTCGTTCCTGAAAAAAAAAATTTAAACTTATACTCCCTGTAAGACTTAATAAAACCCCTAATTTAAAATTTAAATTTATAATTGAATTACCTAACATTGAAATTAAATTGCACACCATTTCTACTTTGGCATCCAACTGTAATTGACTGTAAGCTCTTGAAAGTGAATTAAAATCTTGACTTTCATCATTTGAAATCAAATGAAAATCCGTTGAAAAGTCCTGAAATTAAATAGTTTTATTTGTAGATTATTCAACTGAAAATTAAATCAGTATACATATTTTAAATTATATGAATACAAGAATCAATAACCCGCCCAATTAATCTTCTTTGTTTTATTTATTTATATATATAAT